TGTGTGTGCACATGCATACAGGATAGGTATTTGGTGCCTTCCCTATTCTTTACATAATGTTGCAAGGGACCAGCTATGAACTAGATCTGGATATTTAAGTTTTACAAGTGATTTCTTCCTCACAGGATATTGTGACATCCTAATAGTATGCAATACATTCTAGTCAGATACTGTACCCATCCCTAGGGAATCTGTACCTGTTTGATGGGCAGAAGTTGATTTAAATAAGACAGATTTAAATCAGACCATACACTAAGAAGAATTCTGTAAATTACTAGTTTCCCACACTGCCCAGGCAATAAATGCCTGAAGTCCTGCAAAGCAACACATCTGTGATGTTAAATGAAACCTATAGATCTGCACATGGGAAGCACAAAGTACTAACTTTCTGTTGCTGGAGGCTGCTCTGTTGCTGCTGCGAACGGGTTGTTCGTGCTTGTGCCAGCCATTCTTGAACGCTGGGACTGTGAGAGGATACCAGATCCAATTCGCATTCCTCCTTTTCTTGTAAAGCTCCCTGCTTTGATTAAGAAGGAAAGAAACAATCATTTTATATAACAGAGATTGCTTAGGTTACAATGAGGTATGAAAGACTGGCTTGGTCAGACCAATATTAATACATGGCATAGGGCCTTTCAACTCTAAAATTGCTGGTTTACATATATTTTAGCTTAACTGTGACTTGTTATTACTGTTTGTTGATCTCACTGTGGTTGCTAGTGGGCATGTCTCTAAAACAAAACACTAACACACACACACCTCCACCACAACTGGCATCTTGTTAGCAGAATCAGAAGAAAAGGACTGACAGACTTGGAGATTGAACTCCTCTCTCACTCTTACAAGAGATCTCTTCAGTTCAGAGGAATAACACATTAAAAAGACCGTAATGAAAAGGGGCTGCAGTTAGAGGTAGGCAAAATAACTGGTCTTTCACTTTAGCTAGCAAACCAAAATATTAGGGATACTAGTTCCATTCCATTCTGAAAATGTTTAGATTACATCAGCAAACTGGAAGAGTCCAGTCAGCCTCAGAAAAGTAAGTATATATGTTCCCTTCTGGCCTTTAGCCAGTGGTGAGGGAACTGGACTGGCATATGGGACAGCTAGCTGTGAGTCCCCACTCTAGAGCAAGGATTTGAACTCATCTCTCCCCTCTGAGCAGGCTAATCTCCAAGCTATCCTGAGGGGGAGGGGAAGGGGGAGTTACTATCAGTCTCATCTCCTGAAGATGTTCCTCTCCACACACAAACTTAAAAGGTTTCTGGGAGCAAAGACTTAAACTGAGGCACCCTTTTCTAATTGTTAGATGCCATAACCAAGCTACTGGCTATTCTGTGACAAGCTATTTACTCTCTCTATGGAAGCTGTTCTGTTTTGTGTAACTACTTAACTATCCAATGGGTTAGAGAACAAGAGACAATAATTTCACAACCTGGTAATTAAAGCTGGAAGGCAGGAAATGTGAATTTAAATCTCTCCTCTGAATCAGTCAGGGAGAAGAGCTGAATCCATACCTTATCACCAGGTGAATCCCTTAATCACCATTTTATAGCCTCTCTTTCTCTGTTTGGCCCAATTATATTAAATTAAGTGGAACAGCTTCAGCAGAAGAGTTTGCCAGCAGGTTAGCTCTGTGATTAGGCAACTCATCTGGGCTGGGGAAGCCCCGTTCAAATGTTGCTCCACAATGGGGATTTAAATCTGCATCTCCCAGCTAAGTGCTCTAATCACTGACACACACACACAGCTGGCCCTAAAAAATGTTTCCCAGATGAAACTGTGTCAAATTCATGAACAGTTTTGGGTCAATCAGAACTGCATTTTTTATTGAGTGAACTACTAGTCCAAAAATTTAACCAAGCTCCAGATACACATGCATTCAATCTGCGATTAACAGATACATGGATAAACAGCAGATCACTTTCTTCAGGACTACTAATTCAGTGCCCCTCTCAAATATTACAGTTGTTTTTTAAAAGCAAAGACCTCCACCTTTTCCAAAGACCTAACTGATTCCCTGGCTTAAAATTCCTACCAGCTTTAAAAGTTCCAGTTGATAATGATGAGACTTAGTTGAGTGTATCCATAAGTTTACTGATTATTTACAAATGAGAAAATGGCAGCTGTCATTCTGACCTACACCAACCCCCAGAATTAAGAAGTATATTTGAATCAATTTATCTGAGGGAGATAAAAAGATAAATCCAAAAGATAGAGAAATGATAGACAGAGAGACACAAAGAGATTGTTCCTTGTTCTCTATTGGGATGGGGAATAGCATAGATGCTATGCCATCAACTAATAGAAAAAAGAAATAAGGAAACCTGAAATGGGCTGCTGTTAGATGGCACTGGACTTGTAGGCATTCAGAAAACAACATAGAAAGGAGACTTTTTTTGAGGAAAAATTCAATAGCTGTAGTGGGCAGCAGTATTCCTGGAGTGGAGCTGGGTGATGTTAGAGGTTAAAAATTGTGAGAGGGACAAAATTAATTGGTCTTTCATAAAGACCTGCTGTTAACCCCATGTCTCACTCCACTGTAACTCTTACTTCTAGTCTCCTTGGAGTTCAGCTGGATATAGTGAAACAGCTATGACATTATAAACAAAGCTGGCAGGTAGATGGGAGTGTAAAAAGTGGGGGAAGGGAGTGTCTCAGGAAAGGCATGGCAAGGGTTATTTTACACTTTTACTTCTCTATTTTAAAATATGGCACTTTTCCTGAAACAAGTATAAAGATATCTCTGTTTCCTACTGCTACTTGAAGAGATTTTGAAAGAAATGAAAGAGTATCGTTGAATCTGAAATTGATCGTGGCGGAGAAGAAATGAAGAGAAGCTAGAGATGAAGGGGATGACAAGAGATTGGTTTGAGCTAGATTCTTAAAGTATCCTCTCCTCTAGCAGGAAGAAGAGAGTTCAGATACTAACGGAACAGATGCTATTCAAATTAAAACAAACAGATTGAAGGCCTTGGATACTAAGTACTGAAATTGCACTAAGGTATGAAAACAAAACATTACAAGACAAGCTTGTTTCAGATTTTATTTTTTGCAGTCTATGGAAATAGGAAAGAAATAAATATGAGAGAGCCCCCAGAATTTGCTTATTTAGGAGTAATACATGTACTGCAAAGAGAGAGGTTGTATATATAATTACTATTAATAGCTAGAATACACACATCCATCTTCTAGCACTAACCTGTTTACTTGTGCCTATTTTAATTGTTCCCAAACCATAGACAACAAAAGGTAATGAACACATTAACACTCCAATTTGAATTGTATTTGATGGAACCTTTTCATGTTCATTGGCCTCAGTAGTGAATAAGTACTCAGAAAAATTAAGAATCAAAATAAGGTTAAATTATTTTTAATACATGTAGGCAATTTCTTTACTACAACATGCTTTTGAATGAACAAAGTAAATAAATAAGAAACTGTTGCATATATATTTCAGTTATAAGACCTGTATGATTTGAATGTCACCACATTAGGTTCACATTTAGATAGAAATATGATCTTCATGGTGAACTTGACCCTTTAGAAGATAAAGTTTTACAGTAAAATAAAATAATAATAAAAAAACCTAAAGAACTCTGAAAGAACCTAACAGTCACTGAATTTGTAGGAAACCAGGGACAAATTCTGCCAGTGGAGTAGCGTACACATTTCCCACTGATATTAATGGGAACCACGTACACTATGTGTATTTGATGGTAAACGTAGGCCTATGGTTGATTTTTGAAAAGCTACATGAACATTAGCCAACAACACTTTAGTAACTACACTAATATTGTGGTTAATGGGCATTTAACCTTAGAACTATACAAATGTGGGAACTTTCTGAGGACTAAAAAAACCATTTTTTAGTCTTTTATTTCACTACAAATATAAGCTGCTTCATTGGGAGTTGTGGGTTCACAGCCTTCCTGAAAAATCAGGCCATTTATGCATATTTATGGACATAAAAAAGCTTAAATTTGGACATCATTCTTGAATATTCTGAACATTACCTTTACCTGTTTCCCCATCATTAGCCCTCAGCATCACCATCAGCCTGGTTGCAAGCCAATTATTTAAGTAGCTAGAATGGATTGGGTGTAAGGAAATAGGAAGGTGACCTCACCTGAAGACATTTAAATAAGTATCTCTGGCTTACAAGTCTCTGCTCCCTTCCTAGCCCCCAGCCTCTGGTTTTAGCACCTCCTGTTTTGTCCTTCCTTAGCCTTTCCAATGAGCACCTCCCTCTCCCAGCCTCAGGCAAGAACTTCTCTCAGTTTTCTCTTCTGACTCCCTGACTTTCTGCTCAGTGAGAGGAGAAGGAGCCGAATGAGGTTGGGACACAGATTCAGGAATTGGGAGAAAAGCAGAAAGAAGGGATAACAAGGCTTCTCATATCAGAGCAAGAATTTGAAGGGGCCAGGAAGTAGGGTTGGGAAGAAATTGGGCCATGGAATCAGGATGGATTGCAGGGGAAACTGGTTAGCAATTCAGTGTGTAGATGGTGCTGGTGTAGTGTACCAGGCTCCTTCACTCCCTAGGAAAGTCTGGTGCTGCCTTTGTGCTTTCCCTTTTGGGTCCACAGCACTCCATAAACATCCCTTCTAATCTTTCTCCCCGCCACCATCCTAACTAATAGGTGCCCCCACACCCATTGCAGAAGGAACACCGGTAAGTTCTCTCGTCTCCAGAGATACCCATGCAGAAGAGGCATCAAATGGCAGATCACCACTCTAACCCTGATATTATTTGACCCCGCCTCTTCCTGTAACCAGGAAGCGAAGCCATCTGGAAAATCAAACCAAGAAAAAGAAGGTCAATGAAGCATTTTATTTCACTTTATTGCCCCAAATGTGTGTAGCTTGAAGGCAGTCACACAGGATATAATTCTGCATGCCTTGTGTGCTATGAGCACTAAATTCTGCAATGCATAGGTACAAACATTATTGGGATCCCTCCTGATGTAAGAGCTTTCAGGGTTTTTTCACAGCTTCATTTTGTTTTTATCTGTAACTTGGAGTATCTGAACGTACTAAGGGGGCATCCTCTGACTGGTGGGTGGGAAAGTATCCATAAGTGGACCATTCAAAAAATGACTTCAGGTCATTAAGTAGCTGTGACCTGAAGGATGTGTAAGGGCTGGTAATCCCATCATGGAAAATAACTTCCTGTAGAAATGAACAACAGGCCCCAAACGAGTGTGCAACAGGCATGAACAAGAGATCAACTTCATGTGAAGAACATGAGAGACACTGATCAAACACACAAGAAAGCCCAAATCCTGAAAAGTCCTTTTCTCTAAGGCAGACCAGTGATACAAAAAAAACCCAACCAACCAAACAAAAACAAACAGAAAACCAAAACTGAGAAGTACAAACAATATATAAAGCTACTAAAATGGCTCATCTAATTATAGAAATGCAAAGCCACTGGCTTGATGTCCTTGGAATCAGTTAGTGCAGATGGGCAAGATTTTTACAATTTGTTACATGATGCGTTAACTATTGTCCCAGAAAA